AAGGAAGGAAGGAAGGAAGGAAGGAAGGAAGGAAGGAAGGAAGGAAGGAAGGAAAGAAGGAAGGAAAGAAGGAAGGAAAGAAGGAGAAGAGAGAGAGGGGGAAGGGGGAGAAAGGAAGGGACCCATATTCTTTATGTACTCTTGTTTCTATTGCCAGTTCCTTATCCTGGGCCCCCAAATCCCACACTTTGACTATTATAGTCAAGTAAGAATCACTCTGTAGTCAGTCTCTGTGCTTACAGATACTTTGTCTTTTACTCTCCCATCACCTTGCAGGTATCACCCTAATCTACAGTAGCTTTCCAATGAAATTCTCAATCTTTGGATGAGGATCTCTTTTGTAAGGATGCCACAAATTGCTTCAAGAGTCCAAAAAAACACAGCAGTGCCTAGAAGCAGAACGAATACTGAGCATGCTGGTTAGATGCATCACAATCTTCATTTCCCAAATGTGCCCAAATTCGGTGGCATCTGAAATACAAAAGTGTTGACTGAAGTTACTGATTCATTGTAACTTTTTCTCATTTTGTATTTCCCTCAGCAATTGAATCTAAAAGTGCAACTCCTTTTTGACTGTATCTTGTAAGATAAAGGTCCTCAGGGGCCATTGAATGCTTACTCTGTCCTTAGGGAGGACTTTTATTGATTCACAATGTGCCTATGGGAGTGCAAGGCCTCAGTATCAGAGAAAAGAAATCAAAAGTTAAAAATAGTTAAATGTTACTTTCTCCTTCCTTCTCTTGACCTTTCACCTTGGTGAAAACTATGGATTTGGAAGTTTTTATGGGGATGCAGAAAAACCTTAGGGAAAAGAAGATTTCCCAAACCTAATATGGTTGTAGACATCAAGGGAAAAGAACTTGAGGGCTCCTAGGTATTTCTACATAGTCCAGCTCTGAGGATGAAGATGAGCAGATGAATATGGGGATAGAAATTATGTGGCAGAATAAGTTGCTCTGACCCACAAACAGAATTGGGCTGTAATTACCTCACTAGGGGTGTGTGGACATTTATTTAGCTTTTATGGTACACCAACCATTACATTATGCCTTTAAACTTCAATGAAAAAAAAATGTACGTATTAGAAGAGTCACGTGAATTGGCTATGTTCACATTGTTCAACAGCAGAGGGGAGCTGAAACTGGTTCTATGAGGCTCTCAAGCTCCTTTACACTTTATTCATCACTAAGCTCTCGCTTCTGAGTACTTGAAGAATTTTCAAGTCACTGCAATCATGAAGACCATTGTCCAACTGTCTTGCATATCCAACCCCCTTTCTATATAACAACAGGTATTATCTCATCAATGGAAAAGACAGAACCTATTTATTACATGTAAGTCCACACATTGAAAATGACAGTTCTTTAAATATATAAACAAGTTAGGGCTGTTCTAAGAAGAACAATGGCTCTGCACTGAGACACATTGGTACTCACAGAACCTGGTATGTGCAGAATCTAGCTTAGAATGGAAGGCATGACTGTTGTGACTGATTTGTGCCTTAAATCCATTTCTCTGAGTCAGTCTGAAAGATACCTATGATTCCCTGGAGCTCAATCCCTTCCTGTTGCATGATGCTGAAGGAAAGTGGTAGAAACCCTTTATGGCTGGAACTTGCAGAATGCAGCTCTCCAAGCTGGCTCACATGTAAGTAAAGAGTAAGTAAAATAGGAATAAAATGATGGCATTTTTCAAAAAACAGCTCTAGGTCCTTGAAAATGATTATTTCTGTTTGCCTGTAACTGTAAAAATGAGTTTCAGGTAATAGCTTTTCTTTTATATAGTAAGTGATGAATGACCAGTTAAACATTGACTCATCTACCAACCAAGATAGAAAAAAAAAAAAAACTATAAAAACTTACAGTGCTAAAAGGGAATGAGAAGACAGAAGTCACCTGATTTTTCAACTAGGTGATTACACCATGGGGATATTCATTTGTCTTTGCGTCAACTCTAGAATTACATAAAATATATTTTGCCATTCAAGAAAATCAAGCCCTTTAGCTTCTACAGATTATATTTTCCCCAAACCCTGTAAATACATTTTCTTCATTCAAGTTAGTATATATCCTTTTAGACGTTGAAAATTGTAATATACAATCAAACACCATATAAAGACGTTCAGCAAGTGTGACAATATTCTTTGAATATTTATTTTCTCAAAGGAATATTTAGGAATTTTAATTTCTGGTAGAAATCAGGCCTGCCACAGAACAGGGTGGGGGAAGAAATGTATGAGAAAAAAAGAAAAGTAGAGTTCCTCCAAGGAGATAGAATTTTGCAAAAACTTACTGCAATTTTAAGTTATTAGTTTTTGCTTGTCATAAAATTATAAATACCGCTTGTTTAGTTTCCACCACACTTCAACAACACTACTAATATAGTGACTGAAGCTTTTAAAAGAGAGAAAAGAAAACAGAGAGAAAGGGAAAGGCCAGAATGTTAATCATTTTCTTGCTTCAAGAAAAAGGAGAGAGTCCTTTTTCTTGAAGTATGAATTTACTTTTCCAAACTCAAACTTCAGTGAATTTGAGAGCCTCATTCCTCAGCACAGTGCTGAGGGATAAATATCTTAGTTCTGACTGTTGATGTCCACCACTGCTCATCTTCTCACAGCAGAATAAATTCTTAGCCAAATTCATCCTCCTCCCTATTTGCCTATGGTTCTTAATTAAAATTACAAAGACTAAAGAATGTGTCACTGGGAAAAATAATGCCAATATTTTGTCCTTGTTGACTACATTCTTAAATAATTCAAATCCATACCTCCACCTAGGCATTAAATTACGGCAAAGTGAAGACTCCAGCATACTCAGAGGAAAGCTGTCTGTCTTCTTGTTTGCACGCAACTTTACCAGATTCCATCAGTTGTATCAGTTCCTATAGAACTAGATTCTAAAGGCCATCTAAAGAATTTCAACAGAAAAGTTAAAGAAGCAACGGAATATGGAATCTCTTTCCAGTCCTTAGGTTTCTAATCTAATATTTTTGATTAATGTTGGATAGAATTAAGCAAATAACTACAACATTAAAAAAATATTTGACAAATACACTTATTTGCTAAGCCTAGAGCTAGCTCTCTCTCTCTCTCTCTCTCTCTCTCTCTCTCTCTCTCTCACACACACACACACACACACACACACACACACA